TCCTCGGGATTCTGATTCCCGAGAGAGGACGGAGGCGAGTGTCAGTGCAGTTCTTTTTGCTCGGACCGCGCGGCGGTCAAACTGCGGGTGCAGTCCCAGGGCCCTAGGACTAGGGCCAAGACGGCGGCGGGCAGCGTGCACGCCACAAACAGGAAAAGTATGTGCATCATGCTCACAAGGCGGCACGGGCGGCAGAGGGGCAGGGGAGTGCCCTCTTCACACTGGGTGAGAACAATGCTGCCCCGATGCCGCCTCCCACAAGCGTGAAACGCTGCACGCGGTCACCGCCTATACTGGCCCACGGGCCGAAACACCTCAAGCAAAGTGCGGCCTGAGGCTCAAAATATAAAATATGAAATATGAAACTCCAGACTCACCAGTCCAGACTGTCGTCTCGATGTGCGTGCGCACATCACCGTAGCCATCACCAGGTCCATGCAGCGGCTGCAACAGGACCTCACGGGCTCGCAGGCCCTGAAACGGCGGCCCGACGCTGGGCCTTCCGCTCCTTGGCTCTCTCACGCTGTCCGCGGCGCAGCCGCAGACGGTGTGCCTCCTCATCCTCCTGTTCAGCAATAGGCACCATGCTGAACAGTCCGTGGCGGAGGAACTGCGATTGCACCTCGTTAGGCTGCACAGCCTTCGTCAGCACGTCCGCCAGCATGTGGCTATTGGGCAGCCACTTGAACTTGATGGCCTCCTGCTCGATCAAATCCTTGGCCACCAACAAGTCGATGAGGGTCTGCCGAGACACCGGCATCGAGCCGATCTTGGACGTGTGATCGTAGAGCGACTTCGCATCCGTCACAAGCACCCCCGGAACCTTCAGCACCAGCCTCCAGTCCCCTTGCAAGGGCGGCTCCCCGTGCAAGACTGCCTCGGTCAGCAACCTGAGGTAGAGCTGCCGATCCAAAGCCACGGACATAGCTGCAGACTCTGCGGCCATCGTAGATCCAACAACTCGTGTAATAGTGCTACTCTGGAACTCCACTAGACAACGCACAGCTAACTCCTTCAACACTCGGGTATCCGCAATCATACTCAAGAACCCCATCTGGCTCTTACAGCCGGGTTCCTTCGCAAACGAAGCGTCCATGAGCGTGAGCACCTGCAAGCGCTCGATGTCCACACGGCGGATCCCGAGAGTCGCAAGACCTCTCTTGTCGTAGTCCTGAAGCCGGTCGATGATGTCATTGAGCATTCGCAGGTGCAATAACCTCCGACCTTTCGGATCCTTCTGTGCGAGCGCCGACGCACTGTACGCGAGCTGTGGCACCACACGTGCGACAGGCCAGCGCACCTTCTGGAGCAAGCTCCGGAAGTCGTGGTGCTCTTCGGGAGTCATCTCCCGCTCCTCGTCCTCTCCCTTTGCAAGGGGGTGCTTTGTCAGCTTGCCGATGTACTCGTGCATGCTGATCTCGATGTGATCGGGGTGGCGCCACCACTCCTCCCCGAGATAGGCGACTGCCTCCTTGTCATTGCCCTCCTTCCAGTGCTTGATGTTGAAACGCCTGTTGATATTCGCCTTCACCATCTGGTACTGGGGGTCGCGCGGGTCCCCAAACAACATGCCGTCGTCGACGTGCAACGTCAACATAGCAATCAATTTGCCGGTCACCCGGTAAACGAAGACAGCCCGAGCACAGCGCAGCTCCACAAAGCCGACCTCGTCCGTCAGCACCTGGCGGGCTCGGAGATACCACAACCGAGGCGCCTCCGTCAAACCGCACGCCCCTTTTAGCAGACGAAGCATCGCATAAGGCCGCGCAGCTGGCCATCCAGCGCCGTCGACGGCCGGAAGCCCGTCCTTAGGAGCCCTCACGCACAGCTCCCGCTCCAGCTTCAGCCCGGACAGGAACGCAGTCGCTACGTCGAAGCACTCGAATGTCCAATCCATCGCCATTGCGATAGACGCACACACCAGCACGGCCAAAGGGGAAGTAGTAGGCGAATCCGTCCTGAATAGACCAAGCTGCGGGTCTAGGTGGCCAGGATTAATCAAACGGGACTTCGCCTCCAACTCCGGCCCTCGCCCCCGGTTCGTGCGAACCGAACGCATGGGCACGGAGATGATCTTATCCTTCGGAATGCTCCTCTCCTCCTCCTCGGTGACCAGCTCGACCGTGTCGTTGGCGATCCATTGCCGCCACTCGGCGGCATCGGCCTCGTCGAACTTAGCCTTCTCGTGCTGGTCGAAGTGACGTGGGTCTAGCTCCTTCGCGTTCCGCTTCATCACGAGTGCGAACACGTCGTGCTCGTACCGCGCCTCCTGCAGCCATGCGTCATACACAGATGACACGTTGATCCATTCCTCGTAAGTCATCGGCTGCTGTACAAGACCCTCCGGAGTGTCCAAATAGCACACCCCCTGTGCCTGAGCATCCGGCTTGTCGTGGTAGAAGAGCGTGAGACCAACCCAGCTGTCCACCATGCGCTCGTTGGCACGGCTCGCGCCGTCGTCCTTGTAGGCACACTGGCCCGTAGCGGAGAGCATCACCGA